TAAAAAGTCTAAAAAATGCATATTCAAATCCTTGTTCACATAGGATAGGGAATAAGGCATTTTTATACGGACATGGAAAGAGGATACCAGAAGGTCTTCCTCTTAAAGAAGATCACCAGGTCTTCCTATGGAAGACCTGGAGGTCCTCTCAAAGAAGACCTGGATGTTTTCTCATGGAAGACCTTGAGGTCTTCTCATAGAGGACCTGGAGATTTTCTCATAGAAGACCTGGAGGTTTTCTCATAGAAGACCTGGAGGTCTTCTCATAGATGACCTGGAGGTCTTCTCATAGAGGACCTGGAGGTTTTCTCATAGAAGACCGGGATGTCTTCTCATAAAAGACCTAGAGGTCTTTTCATAGAATACCTGGAGGTCTTTTCATAGAAGAGCTGGATGACTTCTCATAGAAGACTTGGCGGCTTTCTCATAGAAGACCTGGAGGACTTTTCATAGAAGACCTGGAGGACTTTTCATAGAAGACTTGGAGGCCTTCTCATAGAAGACCTGGAGGTCTTCTCATAGAAGACCTGGAGGTCTTCTCATAGAGTACCGGAGATCTTCTCATAGAATACCTGGAGATCTTCTTATAGAAGACCAGGAGGTCTTCTTATAGAAGACCTGGAGGTCTTCTTATGGAAGACCAGGAGGTCTTCTCATAGAAGACCTGGAGGTCTTCTCATAGAAGACCTGGAGGTCTTCTCATAGAAGATCTGAAGGCCTTCTCATAGAAGACCTGGAGGTCTTCTCATAGAAGACCTGTAGGTCTTCTCATAGAAGAGCTGGAGGTCTTCTCATAGGAGACCTGGAGTTCTTCTGATAGAAGAGCTGGAGGTCTTCTGATAGAAGAGCTGGAGGTCTTCTTATAGAAGAGCTGGAGGTCTTCTGATAGAAGAGCTGGAGGTCTTCTGATAGAAGAGCTGGAGGTCTTCTGATAGAAGAGCTGGAGGTTTTCTGATAGAAGAGCTGGAGGTCTTCTCATAGAAGAGCTGGAGGTCTTCTCATAGAAGACCTGGAGGTCTTCTTGTAGAAGACCTGGAGGTCTTTTTGTGGAAGACCTGGAGGTTTTCTTGTGGAAGATCTGGATCTTCTCCTAGAAGACCTGGAGGTTTTCTTGTGGAAGATCTGGATCTTCTCTTAGAAGACCTGGAAGTCTTCTCCTTGAAGACCTTGGAGGTCTTCTCATAGAAGCCCTGTAGGTCTTCTTATAGTAGCCCTGTATGTCTTCTCCTAGAAGACTTGGAGGTCACCTCCTGGAAGATCTGAAGGTCATTTCCTAGAAGACCTGGAGGTCTTCTCCTGGTAAATATTGAGGTCTTTTATAGAAGACCTGGAGGCTAAAAGACCTGTAAGTCTTCTCATAGAAGACCTGGAAGTCTTCTCACAGAAGACCCAGAGGTCTTTTGCTAGAAGACCTGACAGTCTTCTAGTAGAAGACCACAATACGTTCTTTCGAGGACCAGAATATCTTTTTATATAGAAGACAACAAGGTCTTTTCATAGAAGGTATCTTATTAAAAGTTCAGAAGGTATAGAATACGCATTTGCAAATGGTTTCCCCTTCCATTTGGCCCACTTATTTAATGCCAATACAATTAAATGAAATTGAAATTACTTTATTTCATTTCGATTCTTCAAATCATTAACACAATTTCAATTCTCTTTTTTCCCTAAAAGTAAAATAAATAAACTACCCACAGCATGCACCGTAGGCATTAGTTCTAATTCAAAGTATACCTTAAGGCGCCAGAAATATGTCATGGTCGATTAGAATAACAAAAATTCACACGAACACACACCGACACGCAATTGTCCAAATCAAACATTTACAATACACTTGGCAGGTAAATTGCATTATGGCCAGTACTCTCGAAACAGGTGAAACGTGCCAATTGTCCGGGTATTCTTTGCAGGTTGCAAAAATTCCACTATTGACACACATTTTTTCTGACCTAAGGATATTTGTGAGTCCCCTCCCCCCGCCTTTTGGGACAAATGGTGAGTAAAAACCCACACGAAAAATATTTGCAGTTATTCAATCAAAAAAATCGAAGGAGGACCAGTACAAAAAAGCCAGTACCCTAAAGACCAGATTAGAACATTTTTTTCTACAATTGCTACTTGAAGGACAACAAAGTAATTTCGGAGCAGGTTTTTTTTCTGGGCAAATATTGTCGTTAGAGAAATTTGAGATTCTAAGAGGTTTTTTTTTTTTTGCATTTGATTTCATTTTCTTTTCAATGACAATTGTGTGGCAATTGGTTAGTGTAATGAAATCAATTTAAGAAATTGTATTGCATACTATTAGGCTTGTAATTTAATTTGCCATTGTGGCATAACTTGAGGGCTCCTTAGACATGGAATTCGAATTCTTTACAATTTAAGAAGGATTTATATTCTCTAAATACATATATTCTTATATTTTATACTTAAATATTAAAAACTAGTTATCGATAGTGGCTTTCACATACCCTAGACACCTCTAAATGTTTCTTTCATTTTATCTTTGACTTGTTTTAATATTTTTATTATTAAAATACCATAAAAAGAGGAAAGAAAAATGCAAAGATGTTGAGTAATGAAACCAATTGCATTTCGCGAGACATTCATTCATTCTTCAACAAAAAAATAAAACATTTAACAAATTTTTACTACCTCAGATGCGAACAAAAAGCAAATGAAAGCAGGGAGCAATAAACTACATGTTTGTTATGAATTATAAATGGAGAATGTCTGGTGGTTTACTCTCGAGGAAAAACAAGTAGAAAAACATTAAGTTCGGCTGGGCCAAACTTTTAATACCCTCCGCCTTAGGGTAAAGGAAACATTAGAAGAAATGTGGTTAAAACCATTAAAATGCCGAATATCGGGAGGTACCCTTATATGGGGGCTATACCAAATCGTGGACCTATAATTGCAATGACTCGCCACAAGAACTGGGACCCATTGTGACCTACAACTACCAATTTTCAGAGAAATTCTTGAAAAAATGTGTCAAAAATCATCAAAATACCGAATATCGGGAGGTACCCTTATATGAGGGCTATACCAAAACGTGGACCTATACATACAATGTTTAGCCACACGAACTAGGACCCATTATGACCCACAAATACCAATTTTTAGACAGGGTATTACCCTTATATGGGGGCTATTTTAGGAGGGTATTACCCTTATATGGGGGCTATACCAAATCGTGGACCTATAATTGCAATGACTCGCCACAAGAACTGGGACCCATTGTGACCTACAACTACCAATTTTCAGAGAAATTCTTGAAAAAATGTGTCAAAAATCATCAAAATACCGAATATCGGGAGGTACCGTTATATGGGGACTATACCAGAACGTGGACCGATATATCTCATTTTCAATACCAACCATCCTAGACACAATGCAAATAGCTCTGCTAAATTTTGGCGCTCTACGTCAAATAATGTGGGCTGTATCGTGATTTCAACAGACAGCAGACAGACGGACATCGTTAAATCGACTGAGAATCTTATGCTGATTATGAATATATATACTATATGGGGTCTACGACGAATATTTAAGGATGTTACAAACGGAATGACAAAGTTAATATACCCTCCTTTCCAAGGTGAAGGGTATAAAAACGGTTGGATTTTTATACCCTCCACCATAGTATGGATAGTATGTCTCAGGATATATTTATATGCCTTGATCAGCATAAAATTCTATTTCGATTTAGCAGTGTCCATCGTTCCGTGGCAATCACTCTAGTTTCCAAACGAAATGAATATTCAGATGCTTTAGGTGTACAGGGATTTTCATATTGAAAATGGGGAAAATGTAGGTCCACGTTTTGATATAGGTCCCATATAACTACGCCGACTGATTTAAGTTTTTACACCCTCAGCCATATGGCTACAGAGGGTATATATCATTTGATACGGCCAAAACGCGTCTCATCGAAATAACGGTTATAGATTCTAGGTCTCTTTGGACCAAATCCATTTCAGCACATTTGGAGTAGATCTAGCTATGTCCGTCCGTCGGGCTGATGCGCACGACAACTCTCGAAGGGAGTGTCCGATTTTGTGTATTTTAAAAATTCCATTAAGGTTTTTTAAATTGATTTTTTTTAAGTACTCTCAAGGATATTTGAAAATATTTCCAAGGACTTTCCGAGCCATGACTGTGAATTTTGAAAAATATTTTTTTTCCAAAGCTTTCGGAGATACTGTAATCAAAACCCCTGTTGGTCGGGGGATTTTAAAAATATATGGATATAAAAAACTTCAAGGACTTTAAGAGCCATGGTCGTAGATTTTTTCGTTTTACAAGGGTTTTCGTGTTTTTTTTTAAAAAAAAAAACATCCAAGAAATTTTCACAAATATTTTTAAAAATAATTTTTTAATAACATTTGTATCAACCGTGTTCAAGAAAAACGAAATGAAATCGCTGTGTTGACCATTAAGTGGCGTTGCCGGTATGCTGGCGTTTAGCGCGGCTATGGCTCGTCGGATTGGGGGTTGGTTCTTGCCACTTGCAGACCTTTTCGGTTGAACAAACAAAAAAAATCATACCGGACTTCAAACTAAATTAAAAAGGGGGTAAAAAGAAGCCTGAAACATGTCAACAAAAAAAATTAAAAAGAAGAAAACGTTCACCTAACTACAACCAAATCCCAAAATAATATTAGTTTTCTTCACAGAAACAGTGCTCCTGGCGGCTGACCAGCCAGGAGATAGCCCTCCCTCCGAGAACACCTCTCGCCATGACGTCTACTCATACTGGACGTCCCAGATCTGACCCTTGACTTACCGCATTTTATACCATTACCACCACCTTTTAAAAAAAAGCTTTAAGCCAAGGACATATTTGTTTTTTCTATATAAAATTGGTACATTTTATTTAAAATACTTTAAATACCCAAATAACAATTCGTAGAAGAAATTACATGCTAACTTTAATGTTTGCGTTCATGATTTCAATTCAATGAATAAATACTATTTTGCCAAAATTTACAAAAAAAAAACTTTACTTTTTCTTCTTTTAGACTGCGATTTCTGAAGACAAAAATTAGGGTGCAATAAAGGCAGCTTGCAATTGTGGTTCTTCCCAACAAGTATGTACGTAAGTATTGTTTTAAAGTTTAGCTTTACTAATTATATTCCACGTTGACTTTTTATTAATTATATTTCTTTCATTTAATTTCAGGAAAGGCAAACAAAGATGGAGTGTCGATTGCACTTAAAATCGACGAACTGATTAAAAGCCTGGTTACCTAACCTTGAATAGAGCTCTGTTCAACGTCGTGTACCTACAGACTAACCAAAAGGTGATTAAAATTTAAAATTGACTTCATTTGTTTCCCCTTCTAATTCATATTTCTCCTTTTTTCACAGAAAAAACCGCGGAATTTAATTATGATGCTTCGTCGTCCGTCTGTCTGTCCGAGGTTTCGTGTATAAAATGTCGATTGGGAATACCAAGCCACGCTGGGTTAGCAATGGCGCAAAATCAGCGGCTCCCTCGATGGATTGGATGGGCGATGGTGTGGCTTGTAGGCTCCAATTATTCAGGAATTTTTAGGTTTAAGATTTATTTTCTTGTTTTAGATTTTTAGTTAATTTTTTTGGTTTTTTTTTTTTCAATTTTGTTAAATTGTTTCCAAACTTTGTTTTAATTTTAAGAAAAGTTCAATTTGTCTTCTAATTTTAAATTTTTGTGAAAACTATTTGTTTTGTTTTCTTTCAACTTTTAGCCTTTTGTTGTTAAATTTTGCTTAATTATTTTAAGGCTTCCAATTTTGTTAAAAAAAGTTTGTATTTCGTGTTGTTGGTATATGTGTTTCAAACAAATAAAAACATTGAATTCACTTCTCAACAAGTGGTTCATCACCAAAAACTTTGTCGGCTTTTTTTTCTTCGCTGGTTACAGGGAGCCACGCATCCAATCTTCTTCGCAGGCAAAATCAAAAAGGACAGATTTTTTTTACAATTTTTGCCAGGAAATTCTGGCTGCCATTTTCCTCGCTTAATTTTCCCATTTTCTTTTTACATTATTCCCTAATATTGACATTTAAGTAATTGGAATAATCAGCTGTTCTTTAGTAATTGTTCTTCTTCTTCTAGCTATCAATTATTTTCAGGGTTACCCCTTTTAAAGGCGCACACCACAAAGCCAACTATCCTGCTGATATCCTTATCGAAGGATAGGGGGAAAAAAAGTGCGACCTTTGGTTTAAAAATGCAAAAAAAAATCAATGGTTTGATAGGGTATTTACAAAAAATCGGTGTTTGGCATCCCTAATAATCGCAGTATGGCATCCCTAACTCTGATTTTCCAAAATAAAATTAAATTTTGGTCTGATTTATTTATTACAATATTAAGCTCCATTAGCCCGTAGGAACATGGTATAACGTTTACGTCATACGCCACGCGTTATCGTTTAGTCTGACGTACGGTGACTACCGATAATAGTGACTTTCGATAGTAGTGACGTTTATGAATGAAAACAATCGGAGTACGCGTCTATTGTAATTTTTTTTTTTGGCGGATTGGAGCACGGACGGACGGAAAAGTTTGGAGCTGGAGAAATTATAAAATTTTAGGTAAGTAGAGTGAAAAAAAAATATAGTGAATTATAAATTAATTATAATACAATAAATGTAAATGCCGGGTGAGTGAAAATAACGTGTATAATTAAAGTGAAAAGTGAATAAAGTGCCGAAAAAAAATGAATGAAAGTTACAATCATAAACATACAGTGCGGGTGTATGTGCGAATAGTAACTTGCAAATAATTGCATTGAAAAAAATAATCCAGAGAAATCTAAGAAATTTCTATCGAAAACTAAAACAATAATAGGAAATATGATAAAAAAGTGGTTTTAATGAAACAAATTCAATTAATTTCCTAAAAATATTTATATATTCTAACCAAAAAAATTAATGATTTCCCTCTAGTGTGTGTGTGTGTGTGTAAATAAAAGTTGCATTTGCATTTACAATGAAAAAAATGCACTCATTAAGAAAAAATGTGACTTTGCGGAAACAATAAGTTCGAAATATAATTCGAAGTTAGTGAGTAGTGAATATAAATGAAACAGATAAAGAAAACAGAATTAAGGAATGAGTGAATAGTGCGAATAAAATTAAAATAGATAATATCACCAAAAGAAAAGAAAAATTGAAATGGTGAAAGCAAAACAAAATGCAAAAATTAACAATGTTGTGAACCAAAGAGATAAAGTGCAAAAAAAACTAATGAATGATTACTATTGGAAACACAGAAAATATTAAAGGAGATGAATAAAAATTAAGTGGAAAATAGTGAGAAATTTAGAATTGATCGGATGGACGTAAATTATTTGTGAAAATATTGTTTTTTTTTTTTTTTTTTTTTTAATGACGAAAAGTATAAAGAATTTAATTGAACTAAACCATGAAAAAGTTGCATGATTAAAAAAAAAAACAATTAATGCATAAAAAGTGATTTTACTAGTTAAAAACTGTGCAAATCTGTATCTAACAAAAATTTATAAAAAAATTAAAGTGAATGAAATTGAAATGCTATTGTGAATTAATTGAAAATAAAATATTCAAGAATTGGGCTTCAGTAAATTTAATATGACAAATTATGTGAAATGTTTTGAATTTTGATGAAAGTATTAAACTGAATGAAAAATTAATAATGATAAACTGAGAAAGTTTTCCAAATCGGACGGACATATTCGGTGTGATTGCCTAAAAATTAAAATTTTTTTACCATATTTGTTCTAAATTATATTTTGATTTTAACTTAAAGTTTCCTCTTTTTCACATATAACTAATACTTTCTCTTTCTGTTCTTATCTTTTCAGATTGGTGACTGCCTACGTTTGGATTGAACGAAAGGTAAGATTGAAACCTGATATTGTCTTTTTCTGTAGGGGTACCCTCAACTAGGTCCACACTTTGGTCAGATTGTTGGATACGATATTGTTTCAAATGCATTTAGATGTGTTTGATCGTGTCTTCCCGCTTCCAGACTCTAACGTCGTAAATCGATGACTGAAAGCTCTGCGACCTTGTGTACAACACTCTTCTGCCTTGTGCCATAGTTGCGTATGGGAATATAAAGGAAGAGCGCACAAAGGGTCAAGGACAGTCACAACGTGACTGCTCAGGAATCGTAGACATATGGTTAGAGTCGGTAAACCTGGGATGCTTCCGTTCGTAATCCAACGTATTCTTTCTGACCACTGCTGTTGGTGTCTAGGCGAGTGGCCTCCTATGGTTACATGAAAAAATTTTCAATGGTCTTAATGTTCGAAAAGACGACTAGAGAATTTACTTAACTTGGATATCTAATTCACAAAAGGTAAGTAGATATAGAAATGCTAATAATTTAATAAGAAAAATATTAATAACTTCCTTTTTTATCTTTCCAGACATTTATTACCTACCGGCGACTTAATTTGCCTCTCCTGTGAAACCAGGAAATTATATTTGATGGTAAGTTCGAGTAATCCTGTTCTCCTTTTTTCTCCAACAGGTGTACCATCGACTAGACCTTCAGCTTTTGTCAGAATGTCGGATACGATGGTTTGCAAATGCACTTAGGTGTATTTGTTCTTTTTGTCTTCTGGCTTCCAGACTCTAGTGTCGTAAGTCGGGTGAAGGACGGATCTGCGACCTCGTGTACAACAGTTCCCTGGCCCGTGCCAAAGAGCGAACGGCTACTGCTTCACCGCGAAAGGGGAATTGCACTAATGGTCAAAGACAGTCACCAGGTGACTGCTCCGGATGCGCAGACATCAACTAGAGTCGGTAAACCCAGAGTGCTTTAATTCGTACTCTGACCTCACAATTCTGACATCTGCTGTTAGAGTCTAGAAGATTGGACTCCTGTTCGGATGGAAAAAAACAGGGTTCCGAACTTCATCAAATGTTCTAGCCGATACTTGTGGTGGGACTACGGTCAGCGCTTTAGAAATGAACGTAAGTTGTAGTTTTAATTCTATTTCGTAGTTTTCGTAATTTTGCTCTGGAAAATGAGAAAAATTATGAGAACACTATCTATTTTAAACTTAAATTTTGTAATTTATAACCAGAATTTAGCAAAAAAAAAACTTTGTAAGTATGGCTTGAGATGGATATTTCAAATTTAATTTTATTTTTATGTTAGTCATTTTTATTCGATTTTTTTCTATTTTGCCAATAATCCTACATAATGATATTTCACTAATTCATATTTTTTTTTCTCTTCTTTATAAAAAAAACTGGAGAAATGGGTTTCAACCTTTACCCATACACAACTACACATCACTCAGGAAGGAAAAGCTGTCCTACAGCTTGTGAAAATTCGGGAGTAATAAAAGGACATATCGTAAGTTGTAATTCAGGTTAGTCCTCTTAATATTATATCTTAAATAATTGTTATAAAATTGGTATTTTTTTTTTAATTCAGGTACTACTTCAACTAAATTAAATTGGATCTTCCGGAACTCTTTGAAAATTCAGGTGAGTATTGGAAAAATTTAAATAATGTTAGGTGGTGGATTTCTGGTAAAAATAGTGGTAAGTCAAGGTCAAATAAACTGTTTCTGTACGAATTCTAAAATGTTTCACTTTTTTTACAGGGATTTGGTGAGTTACACTGGCAAAACTGTGGGATTTAAATGAAGTAAAAACGAACGGAGAAAAATGGAATATGGAATAAGCGGCTTACACAGACATCCCTCAAGAAGTTCCATGACAATACGACCAATGGTCGGAAGCCAAAATTGTCGCAGGACCGAATGGAAACTCTAGGTAAGTCTGAGATCAGCTACCAAATTTCGGGTACTGAAATTAAATATAGACAGAAACTAAAATCTAAAAAACCCAAATTAACAAATTCGTTTGAGAATAACAATTCATATTTGCGTAGCAGCGCGTCACCTGCCTTCTTATAGGCTGCTTAGACGGGTCTCCACAAATCAGAACTGTTAAACCAGACGAATTCTTTCAACGTTATAACTCTAAGAAATCTGAAATTTTAACTTTACTAAAATATGAAATTTTATTAAAATGCTAGTGCAATTAGAAGTATTAAACTAGAACGACTAAGCCACTAGAAAAAACTAAAAATCATATTTTTCCCAAATATAAATGATGTTTACCCGAGTCTTGGATGAAGCAACGCGTCAGGACTCTTAATTAAACCTAGACGGGACTCATTAAAGATTCATGGTAAACACATTTATACACTACGACTAAAAATTATTAAAAACTAACATGTCTCAGGCCCCACATTCTGGGCGCCATTTTGTATCAACCGTGTTCAAGAAAAACGAAATGAAATCGCTGTGTTGACCATTAAGTGGCGTTGCCGGTATGCTGGCGTTTAGCGCGGCTATGGCTCGTCGGATTGGGGGTTGGTTCTTGCCACTTGCAGACCTTTTCGGTTGAACAAACAAAAAAAATCATACCTGACTTCAAACTAAATTAAAAAGGGGGTAAAAAGAAGCCTGAAACATGTCAACAAAAAAAATTAAAAAGAAGAAAACGTTCACCTAACTACAACCAAATCCCAAAATAACATTAGTTTTCTTCACAGAAACAGTGCTCCTGGCGGCTGACCAGCCAGGAGATAGCCCTCCCTCCGAGAACACCTCTCGCCATGACGTCTACTCATACTGGACGTCCCAGATCTGACCCTTGACTTAGCGCATTTTATACCATTACCACCACCTTTTAAAAAAAAGCTTTAAGCCAAGGACATATTTGTTTTTTTCTATATAAAATTGGTACATTTTATTTAAAATACTTTAAATACCCAAATAACAATTCGTAGAAGAAATTACATGCTAACTTTAATGTTTGCGTTCATGATTTCAATTCAATGAATAAATACTATTTTGCCAAAATTTACAAAAAAAAAAAACTTTACTTTTTCTTCTTTTAGACTGCGATTTCTGAAGACAAAAATTAGGGTGCAATAAAGGCAGCTTGCAATTGTGGTTCTTCCCAACAAGTATGTACGTAAGTATTGTTTTAAAGTTTAGCTTTACTAATTATATTCCACGTTGACTTTTTATTAATTATATTTCTTTCATTTAATTTCAGGAAAGGCAAACAAAGATGGAGTGTCGATTGCACTTAAAATCGACGAACTGATTAAAAGCCTGGTTACCTAACCTTGAATAGAGCTCTGTTCAACGTCGTGTACCTACAGACTAACCAAAAGGTGATTAAAATTTAAAATTGACTTCATTTGTTTCCCCTTCTAATTCATATTTCTCCTTTTTTCACAGAAAAAACCGCGGAATTTAATTATGATGCTTCGTCGTCCGTCTGTCTGTCCGAGGTTTCGTGTATAAAATGTCGATTGGGAATACCAAGCCACGCTGGGTTAGCAATGGCGCAAAATCAGCGGCTCCCTCGATGGATTGGATGGGCGATGGTGTGGCTTGTAGGCTCCAATTATTCAGGAATTTTTAGGTTTAAGATTTATTTTCTTGTTTTAGATTTTTAGTTAATTTTTTTGGTTTTTTTTTCAATTTTGTTAAATTGTTTCCAAACTTTGTTTTAATTTTAAGAAAAGTTCAATTTGTCTTCTAATTTTAAATTTTTGTGAAAACTATTTGTTTTGTTTTCTTTCAACTTTTAGCCTTTTGTTGTTAAATTTTGCTTAATTATTTTAAGGCTTCCAATTTTGTTAAAAAAAGTTTGTATTTCGTGTTGTTGGTATATGTGTTTCAAACAAATAAAAACATTGAATTCACTTCTCAACAAGTGGTTCATCACCAAGAACTTTGTCGGCTTTTTTTTCTTCGCTGGTTACAGGGAGCCACGCATCCAATCTTCTTCGCAGGCAAAATCAAAAAGGACAGATTTTTTTTACAATTTTTGCCAGGAAATTCTGGCTGCCATTTTCCTCGCTTAATTTTCCCATTTTCTTTTTACATTATTCCCTAATATTGACATTTAAGTAATTGGAATAATCAGCTGTTCTTTAGTAATTGTTCTTCTTCTTCTAGCTATCAATTATTTTCAGGGTTACCCCTTTTAAAGGCGCACACCACACATTCAGAAATTTAAAGAAAATTAGGAACTCTCATAGATTTTTAGAAATACTTTTCAAATTGCATTGTCAAAGAGATCAGCTGAAAATGTGCACCTTCGGTTGGCCACCAAAACTCGAGCGTCGGCCATTTTATGGTGTGGGCCGCCATAAGAGCCGATGGTCGCTCTCCGCTCGTATTAATTGACCGTGGCATCAGAATGCATGCCGACCTTGGCTAATTTCAACAGGACTCAGCACCATCGCACTCAGCACGCGCCAGCCAAGAGTGGTTACAAAATTAAGTTAATCGCTTCATTTCCAGCGCACAATGGCTAACAAAATCTCCGGATTCCAATCCGTTGGACTATTGTGTCTGGAGTATTTTGGAAAGCAAGGTTGGCACTAAAAAATACCAAAGTGTCGATCACCTCAAGCAAACGCTTCACCGGGAATGGGCAAAAATACCGCAGAGCAACATTCGGACAGCGTGTGACGGCTTCATTGGCCGTTTGAAGGCCATAATTCGTGGCAAAGGTGACCAATTCGAAGACATCTAAACTTATTCTAAAATTTGATGCTATTTCCGACATTTTTTTCTTTCATTCAATAAAATTTAAAAAAAAGTAAAAATTATGGCATTTGAATTTGTTGCAGTCTTTTTACCTCACCATATAATATTGCCGACTGACTTAAGTTTTCATACCCTCAGCCATATGGCTACAAAAGTTTATATATCATTTGATAATCGTGTCTCATCTATATAACGGTTTCAGATCCAGATTTAAATATCTGTACGTCTGGCTCCGTTTGTATGTCTGGCTGATGCGCACGATAACTCTTGAAGTGAGTATCCGATTTGATCCAAACTTGGTACATCGTAATATTATTATCAAACTAAGATCGTGCTAGGAGATAGATTATATCGACCTCTACTTCTGGTACATCCCACGCAAAAATTCGAAATTTAAAAGAAAGTATGTTAAAGAACAGAAAGATAAAGGATACTCCGATTCTGCTTCAACTTTGCAAATCCTAATATTTGCATCAGTGTTAGGTCAGGTGCGAAAATAGACAATATCGGTCTACTCCATCAAGTGCCTCCCCCACAAAGGGTCAAAATTTAGAATAATTATAAATCTTATATGTGGGAATCCGATTGTCTTCATATTTCACACATCCCATTACTTCCACTAACACAAGGTCTGGTGTGAAGATGGAATATATCGGTGCACACCTTCAGGTACCTCCCGCACAAAGGGTCAACGTTTTGAATATCCATGAAGCTCATAAAACCAAAATTTACATCCAATTCCATTCAGACTGGGCACATCTTCATATTTCTATCAACACAAGATCTGATATAAAGATGGTAGAGTTCGGACCATTCCTTCTGATACCTCCCCCACAAAGGGTCAACGTTTTGAACATCCATGAAGATCATACAACGAGATGTTAACATCCGATTCCTTTCAGCCTTGGTACATCTCAATATTTCCATCACTACAAGATTTGTTGTAAAGATGGTACCTTCCCCACAAAGGGTTCAAGATTTTGAAAAACAATATGCCAATAAAACTCGAAATAAACATCCTATTCTCTTCAAATTTCACACATACAACCATGATTGTAGATTATGCGTTTTTAAATGGACCCGTGGTTTTACTTTTTTAACAATTAAAAAAGTGTTGAGGAAACCATGACCGTGGGCTTTAAAAAAATATTTTGTTTTAAGTGCCGTGGGCATAGTTTTTTAATATTTTTTAAGGTCGTGAATTTTTAAAAATATATTTCTATGTCCATTTCCGTGTAAATGGATTTTTTTGTTTTTTGTTTTACAAGAACTTACGTGTATTTTAAAAAGACCTTTAAGAATTTTTTTAAAATATTTTTTGAAATAAATTTTTCAAATACTCTCAAGGATATTTGAAAATATTTTCAAGCCATGACTGTGAATTTTAAAAAATATTTGCATATTTCGCAGGTGAGGCACTGAAAACACCAAATCGGGTGAAACACATATATTGAAGCTATGGCTATATCTGAACAGACTTTCACCAAAATTGATGTACTTACTTCTAATCTGAATTCGGTCAGATGTGCCAAAATTTAGGTCATTTGGGCTGATATTAGTCATTTCGAGCACAATTTACTGGGAATCGGTTAAATTTATATATGGGAGCTATATCCAAACTCAAACCGATTCTCATCATCTTCAATTAGATTCGTCCTTGGGCCAAGCAAGTATTGTTTGGAAAATTTCATATCAATCGGATAATAAATGCGACATGTATTTCGTTCACAAAAATACATGGACAGATGACATACATAAATCGACTCAAAAAGTGAAGATCCTTAAAAGTAACTATGGTCCTATCTCGCTTCCTTCAAAATGTACAAACAAATGCAAAAAGACATAACACCCTTACCACTATGTGGTGTAGGATATAGAAATCCAGGACTTTCAAAGCCTTGCTCTCTCAAATTTTTAAAAAAATTACCAAGCCCTGTTTTTAAGGAACTTTAGGGCCATATTCTTGGATTTCTGATTCTTTTCATTCAAGCTTTTCAAAGTCATGCTCTTGCTTGAAAAAATAAATATAGACGTATTTTGAAAATATCTTGAAAGATTTTGTCAAGGATTCTCAAAACTTCGTTATTAAATTCATGACATTTCGTATATTTCTCTTTGTTTTCTTCTCCTTTAAACATTTTTTTCTCGAGTGTACCCTGCAATGCATTATCAAAAAAAACCTCCCACATGAAATATTATAAATCATATTAAATATTTTGCATGCACACAGACATATGTAATAAAATGCATATATTTACATTCAACTACAAATGTGTGTGTCTACATGTACATGTGTCTTTACGTCCGCTTATAACTTCCGTCTACAAATATTCATAAATGAAAAAGTAGCTGGTAACGTTTACTTTTTAAACATTGCGAGATGGAAGAACACACCTATGGAACGTACACACGCATACACACATGGTGATACACCTTCACTAAATGCAAGAAAGTGTCTGTGATCTAGAGCCGCACAGGCACACACACATACACATTCAATTATGAAGAAAAATAAGTACTTTGGTAATGAATGACGACGATGCACACACAAACACACACTCCACAAATGAGCGAATGAATGAATGGGCGTTTGAAAGGACGAAAGAAGGTACATATAAAAACCACATAACTACTTCAAAAAAAAGGAAGAAAGAAATGAAAACCCTTAGAAATGCTGATGCAGTTGCTCATACAGTTGTTGCAACAAAAAAAGTTGGTTGCCGAGAATAGTCTACCAGTCATCCTCACCTCAGCCAGGCAATGTGGCAACAGTATGAGAAAATTAAATGTTCAAGTATCATCGCAGTCATATCATCATCACTTGCATATTATATAATAATGTATGATGATTTTCTACACATGTTCCCCCTTCCATCTTTTTTTGTTGGCCTCTTTGTTGCAACAACCAGCTCCTTCTGTTTCGTACACATTTGTTTTAATGCCCAGACATAAATATTTCCATCAGTCGGTTTTAATCAGCATTAGGTGCAATTTGTAAAAAATTATGAGAACCTTAGTAGGTTGGGGATGGAATGAGAGAAACCAAAAAAAGGGGGGACAATACAGGCCATGTGATACCCTACACCGTACTCTTAGCATAGGACTATTCCAAGATCATATAAAGAAAGAAGGAAGATCTTTAGGTATGAGATTTTGAAGTTTGAGTAGATTTTCGTGGAAGGTGAGCCTTAAGGCGGGATTTTTTTGGATATTAATAAAAAAATGAGCAACAGAGTACTTTTTGGACTAAGACATCATAAGTTTGGAGCTTGAATCTAAAAATATAAGATTTTAGTTACTATTGATGTGTGATATTAGACCAGGTGGTGTTTTTGGAAGGTTGTACTAAAAAGGGTACTAAAATGTCCTAAAAACTCTTTTAGGGCTAGAATATTCTAATTTTACATGTACATGATTATTAATACCGGTCGTAAGATATGCTAGTATTTATAGAAGTTCGTACTGAAGTGGTTCTAACAAGTTAAAAAGTATATGTCGGGATGCCGACTGATGTATACTCTCAGCCAATGATCGATTATTTAAATATATTTCGACTTGTATTATGATTTTTCAAATTGTTGACCCTCTATGGAGTAGGTTCCGAAATAATGGACAAATATTGTCCATTTCGTGTCGGACTTAAATAAATATGATATAAATATTGCGACGTGTGAGGTTTGGACATCAATTACTTCTTTAACTTTATATGAAATAGGTGATAATTTTTAGAAAATGTAAAATGTGCGAGAGGTACCAGATATAGCCGACGGAAGTGGTCCTTCACTTCGTCTAATAGAGATAAAATTTTTTGCGAAATCATAAATTCCGATTAATTCCATATTTATCTCTGGTTTCTGGTTGAGTGAAATATTTAGTTTTAAAGAATCGCTGACTCGTTCGACAAATTATGTCTGATAAAAGTATTGAAAATTGTGACCCTTTATGGGTGAGGTACACAGTAGGGTTTCCAAGATACATATCATCTTCACAACAGATCTTATGTTAACAAAAATGTTTGTCTGATCTCTATTATCCATCATTTATAATAGATCTTGTGTTGATGGAAAAATCATACCAAGTCTGGAATGAGCTTCATGGATATTCAAAATTTTAATCCTTTGTGGGAGAGGTACGAGAAAAAGTAGTCCGATCTCTACCATCC